AAAAAAAAAAAAAAAAAAAAAAAAAAAAAAACTATGATAGTAACGTAGCGAAAGCGATTAGAAAATAGAGAGAAACCTCATATATATTTTGAGGAACCTTGTATATATTTTTATTCAATCAAAATCAACCAACTAAAATAATAGAAGATGAGTATTCAAATAGAACTCGTAACCTAAGTAATTATCTTGCCCAACCAGCAAAGGAATCTAATAAAACAAAATAAGTTACTAAGGGGGTGATTGTTTATAGTTTAAACAGTAAAAAAATCAATGAAAATTCAAATTTAACTCAACTTTAACTCAACTTCACTATCCTCAATATTATCAATATAATTAAATAATATCAACTAATCATTTTTACATATCACATCTACTTTAACTCATTATTCATCCACTCACATAATTTTAATTAACCATCACTTCCAATCATTTTTCTCATACTTTACATCAAATCAACTTTAATTATTTTATTTAAATATTATTTTAATACATCCACAAACAACTAATCATACCACTTTTTTAAAAGTTAACTATAGTTAAAAACAAACCAAATAAAAACTAGTTGAATTCATAAATAATCACACCCTATCAAATCTATGATGCCATAAATAAATATTAAAAATGATGTTGAATAATCATGGTTGTCCAAAAAGGCAACGCAATCTCGTCTCCATCAGATGGTCATGCTAAAGGCAGTAAAAGTACTGAAGCCTTTAGCAGGCATATTAAAGCAACTACCAAAAAGGAGAACTAGTCACTGAACATAAGAACCTAGCTAAGGAGAAACATGGAAAACAAGAGGGGAAGACTAAACTAACAAATGTCAGTTCGCAACAACAACAACTAAATAAACAAGAACAACAACTAAGATTAAGGTGAAGATGATAATTCATGTCACTCAAAAAGTGCATATTTGATAGAGACGAGTTCGCGTTGGAGTTTCTAGACAAATACGATCGACTGTCGGCGTTGATTTGATTAGTCACGTACATTATTTTTATTTATTTCTTTGTTTAGTTAATTTAAATTGGTAGGCAAATAATTATGTTGGTAGTCAAGAGATGTTAGGACTCTTGTATTATTTATCTGGCTTGAGAACAGAACGCAGACGTTGGTTGGTTGGATGAATAATATTTCTGCTTTGTGAACTTTTGCGAGAGAGTATCTCGTTCTTTTCCCTTTCTCGTATCACGTTCTACATCAGTTGGTATCAGTTGACCAGCTGACGATCCACAATGCCGCCAAAGAAGGACAAAGCTGTGATCGATAACTTCGTTGATAAACGATTTCAGAGAATTGATGAGTGATTCAACGGTTTTGATGAACGATTTGTGGATCTTTCGACGGGCTTCGAGGAACTACGACTGACGATGCGCACCATGATGGATGAGATGCGACGAAATCGCGATATGACTAACCGGGGTAATCGCGAGGGACACCGTGGTGGACGCGGTGGTCGGGGCTTTGGCTGGGCGCCCTGCCGACGATCGAAACCTCAACTGCAGACTGGTCTGGATTCCGACGACACGCAAATGGTCGATAACCCGTTCGCTGAAGAGGCCAATGGCAGGGCCAAGATACCGGATTGCGGCCTCGCAATGGTGGGTTAGGGTTTTTTGGCCATGGTGAAGGCGGACCAGGATTCGACCAAGGGTGGCGAGACGTGGCAGATGGAGGTCGCGCTAGGAGACAGTGGCGTGCCAGACTCGGGGAAGAAGACGACGGGAATCGCCGTCAGGGATGGCCTCTGTCCGACAAGGAGTTGTTTGATGAGGACGTGGGTTAACGGCGTCGGGGTCGCGGGCTTGGGGTGGCAGCAGCTCACCATCGCCGCGGTTGGGGCAGTGATGACGAGGGTCCAGACGTGGGCTGGCAGCAGCGACGTGAGGTTCGGCACCCGATAGAAGGTAGCGAGGACTCGCGTTGGGAATTGGGGTTTCGGGTTGAGATTTCGGAGTTTCCGGGAGGAGCAGATGCAACAGAGTTCCTCGACTGGTGGGCTGCAGTTGCGTCCGTCCTCAAATTTAAGGCGGTCCCAGACGAAAGACGTGTCGCGCTTGTTGCCACGCAGTTCCGTGGACGAGCGGCGGCTTGGTGGATACAACTCACGAGCTTGCGGCATCGCCAGGGGAAGCCAGAAATCTCTACTTGGATGCAATTCTAAGTACGTAGAACGTGAATTTCTCCCTTCTAATTATGATCATGTGGTTTATCAACAGTTACACAATTTGCGGCAAGGTCCACGTTCTGTTTCTGAGTATACGGCGGACTTTTATCGTCTCTTAACTCGTGTAGAGATACGTGAGTCGAAGGGACAGTTGGTTGCTCGCTATGTAGGGGGTTTGTATATTGCTATACAGGATTTGCTTAGTCTTGTGGTTCTAGAGTCGGTTTCGGATGCACATCAACGGGCCCTTATTGTTGAGAAACAACTGGCTCGAAAGACGGGCCTGTCCAGTGGTGTTGCAGGTGCAGGTTTGCAGCCCGGGCGTGGGACACCTGCTTCGGGCTTGCCCTCGGGCTACGTGCCGACAATGGGGCGCGACTCGACGGCCAGCGGTGGGCTGCCGCGGGCGACCAGTGATTTGGGTACGACGCCAACTGCCAGTATGCAGCGGGCTGGGAGCCACGTAATAAATTAATCACGCCACGTCGGATTTTTATCAAGGGGGGGTGATTAGTGTGTCGTTTCCGACCAAAATGCCAACTTCGTGTGTCTTTTTCGTGCTTGCCAACATAATGTCTCTTTTGTTGACAACGACCAACTTAGTGTATCATTTTTGTAATTTTGCTATTTATAGTTTAATATATTACTCAACTATTTAATTTTTTATTTGAATAGTTTATACAAAAATAGAATATTTTAAGTAATGAAACAATATAAATTTTATATTTATACTTATTATTCACATATGTTATTAAATATGAAATCACATTATAGTCAAATTGAATTTTTGAATAAATTTTTTGAAATGATATTTATTTTGAAACGAATATAATGTGATTTATTATCAGTTATGTGCACCACACAGGCTGTGTACTAATTTTGAATAGACATTTTTATGTAATTTTCTACAATTTAAACTTTATAACATTTTCAATAAATTAGAATATGTAATTGTATTACATATTGATTACATATTTCTAATTTATAAATATTACTTAATAAGAACTTTTAAGTTATAAATATTATGAATATTTCTTACGGTGCACACGGGACTCATACTAGTTAAAATTAATTAATATAAAAGTACCAGAGATATGAGAAAAATGATGTGAAGTGATGATTAATTGTAAGTGACTACATGAACCGTGAATTATAGATGAATATAGGATTAGAACATCTTCAATGGTCCATGTATTGCTCATTTTTATTGCCATGTGGCAATAATTAATCTTATGTGGCATTCAAAATGTCTAGAAGTTTTTTCATGTTTAGAAATACTTCTAGACATCCTCTATTACATTTTTTATTATTTATTAAATATATATATTATTCTTAACCAATTATAATGTTACACATGTCAAATTATACTAAAATTCACATTCGTCATTGGAGACAAAATTTTGTAATTCTCTTTCTCCATGTTATACATCTCCAAATAGACTATATACCCAAGTAATATGAATTAAATAATATATAAACAAACAGACCATAAATTTCA